TCTCTCCGGCCCAGGCTGCGCGCCTGATTCCTGGTTTTGGCGGCTCTAGCGGTTGGTTCCTGGACATTTATTATTTTTTTTTTTGTCCCGTGCTGCTACTCCTGTATTGTTTCTAAAATCCGGCCCGCTCACTCCCCGCACACGCACAGCCGTGAATGCAATGCTGGGCACTTAAGAAAGAAGTTGATAGTTTTCATTTTCACCCCTCAAAGGAGCCATCGGGGAAAGGAAAACCACAGCGGTAGCTACCCGTCCCGTCTAAGCCTTGTTTCTCCGGTTCTTTTCTCCTACAGAACATTATAAACATCACTGGTTCCCAGAAAAGCCGTGCAAGGGATCAGGTTACCGTTGCATTCGCATCAACCATAAAATGGATCCTCTGATTGGACAGGCGGCGCAGCGGATTGGACTGAGCAGCCAGGAGCTGTTCAGGCTTCTCCCCAGTGAACTCACACTCTGGGTTGATCCCTACGAAGTGTCCTACAGGATTGGCGAGGACGGCTCCATCTGCGTGTTGTACGAGGCCTCACCAGCAGGAGGTAGCACTCAGAGCAGCTCCAGCGTGCAAATGGTAGACAGCAGAATCAGCTGCAAGGAGGAACTTCTCTTGGGCAGAACCAGCCCTTCCAAAAACTACAATATGATGACTGTATCAGGTTAAGATATAGTCTGTGGATGGATCATCTTATAATGGATGGATAAATTTGATTTTTGCTTTGGGTGGGCTCCTCTTGGGGATGGATGGATTATGGAATTTAAATCATGTCACAGCTGTGAAGATCTGGCACAAGATAGAGTGGTAAAAAAAATTTTTTTTAAGTGACAGTGCCATAGTTTGGACAGTACCTTTCAATAATTTAATAGCCTGTGAGTCCAAGTCAATGATCACTTTATTTGCTAGGGAGTGAAGTCCTAGGGTGGTTTCAGTTTCTCCCAGACGCTATACCTAAATTTTTACATCAGTCCCTTTAATGCAAATCTGTATTTCAAAGAACTGTTCTCTGCAGTAGGTCTTGGCAGAGGAAATTTGCACTATTACACTTGAAAATTGTTAACTTTTTGGCAGCTGCATAGGAAAGCTCAACATTTTAAACAAGGTAGTACTGGAAGTTTTATGACAAGACTTTTACCTAGCACTTAAATATGTATAAATGTACATAAGACAAACCTAGTAGGCATGTCCTGGGGAAATGGTCAGACCTTGTATTGTGTTTTTGGCCTTGAAAGTAGCAAGTGACCAGAATCGGCCTTGGCAACAGGCTTTACAATTTAAGACCCCTAAAAAGACACTGTCTCAACTGTGGTGGTAGCACCAGCCAGCTCTGTGCATTTGCTAGCTTGTAGTTTTCTAAGACTGAGCAAACTACTTATTTTTAGAAAGTGGAGGTCTGGTTTGTAACTTTCCTTGTACTTAATTGGGTAAAAGTCTTTTCTACAAACCACCATCTATTTTGTTAACTTTGTTAGTCATCTTTTATTTGGTAAATTATGAACTGGTGTAAATTTGTACAGTTCATGTATATTGATTGTGGCAAAGTTGTACAGATTTCTATATTTTGGATGAGAAATTTTTCTTCTCTCTATAATAAATTGTTTCTTATCTTGGCATTTTAATTAATCTCTTGTCATGATTATAGACGTTCAGCTAAAATATATATTTCTCAGAAGACTTAGGTTCTATAAGCTATGTGAATGTCAGTTGCACACTGGTCATGCTAAGAACATTTATTTGATAAAGAGTGAAGATCTATGTATACATATTTAGATGTTATAGAGGAAACACAGGGTTTGTTTTTTTTTTTAAATCTCTGAAGTCAAAACATGGACATATTCCCAGGCCAAATGCATGAAATGAGGATGAAACAAAAGGGTAACATCTACCAAAAATGATACTCAAAGGATTACATTTCATTGCTTCCCAGTTGAAGTGAAGATACAAATGTTCCATTCTGACCCACCTTTGAGAAACAATTATTTTGCCCCTATGGATTCCTTGTTCAGTTAAAAAATCCTGGGGCAGATGACCCATAGTCTTAAAAGAACAGGCTAATCACTACAGAGAAATTGGTTGCTTTTTGCTTTTCATCAGCTGCAAGATTTACATTTAAAAAATCACTTAATCTGGAATTCAACAAAAGGTATGTTTACACATTTTTATTCTCAAAAGTTGTAATGCTGAGTTTTTGATTTCTCATTTTCAGACTTTTATTTCAGTTAAAGCCTAAGAACCTAAATGAAACAAATGAACGTTGCTGGAGTGTAGCTTACTCCACTACCCTTACGATAGAGACTTAGTAAATTTTTGTTTGTAGAGGATAACAGGGTTTTTCTCTACACAGTTAAGTAACTTGCCATATAGTGGCACTTTTTTTTTTGTAGAAATGTAAACATGTTCACACTGGAAATACGCAGTCTAGATTACTTGCAATTAGTAATCCCAATTAAATATGAAAATGTATTTTTATCTGTAAGGTTAAATTCTGACTTTGTAGGTTATACAGGAATACACAGCTAAACCTGCAGGTATTTGGAATACAGATGACTGTGTACTTGATTGGCAGGCTATTTCAGGAGTTTGAAATATAGCCACAACACATAGACTACCCTTGCTAATAACGGTTTTGTTTTTCTGTTCATTTTTGAAAACCCCCCTTCCCCTTCAGTCTTTCAAACTTTAATTTACAATAAAACAAATGGTACTATAGTCTTGTCGCAGGTCTCACACCAGTGCTGACTACTATTGTATACCAACTGCATTTCCTATGGTAACTCCCTTGAAGCTAGGTAACTGATAAAGCTTTCCATAATCTGGGACCTAAGGCAAAGTGAGGAGACTTCTCAGATGGAGAATTGGTTTTGAAGATCTTCACATCAGACTTTTTAGTACTTTAAAATAAATTTGGTAGGAAGAGAACTTAATAAAACATTTTATTTTTGAATGCAGGTGATGTCTGGCAAGTAAGGAGCTGTTAAGTTCCTCTTTAAAAGGCAAGCATCACTGAGACTTAGCAGCCAGCTGTTTCCTGTGACTTTAACCCTGCATTCCCCAGACAATTGTCTAGTACAGTAACTGTTTGATAGTTCTTGTTCACTGCTTCTGGGGAATGTTTTGCCTAGCTATTTTGATGAGAACATTTGAGTGTCTGTTGCGTGCACATGTAGGTGTGTACCAAGCCTGTGCATATAGTCATTTATACCAGCTGTGTACTTTCAGTTTAGTAGTGAAAAAATTTAAAAGGCTTTTACACTGCCACATATAGTCATTTATACCAGTTGTGTACTTTTAGTAGTGAAAAAATTTAAAAGGCTTTTACACTGCCTGAGTTAAAGATAGTTTCTTTAATGAAATCACTTTAGGAAATGATTTAGAAATCATTTTCGGAAAGGATGTCTGCTTTCAAAACCATTAGTTGCCACTGACACCATAAGTTCAGTTATTGGCAATAAGTTTAGGAATGTTACTTTTTGAGTTTTAACGGGTAGTTGTAAAATTATTTCCTCCAATTGTAAGTATTGTTTTTCTCTAATGCTGAAGGAAGGCTTACAGTGGATTGTATGGCAAGTTGTTTATGCAGGATAATGTGGCTGTTTTCCTGGCAATCTGGAATGGGAATCACATGTCCTTACCCTTAATCTGCAATATTTTTGTAATAATAGACTATAAAGGCCACCAGAAAACTGCTTTTTGCTACTATTGCACAAATGATTTCCTTAAGTAACTATAACGCAGAAATTGTAACTTTATATACCAGGTGTTACAGATCATGGAACTGGCCTTTGAGTTCAAAGGAAGCAGTATTCCTGACTATTCTAGTGTTTAAAGGTTTTCAGGCTTCCTTTAATCTTAGGAACAAATACTATCTGCTATTAGACTTTTCCCCTTGGTGATTTTTTAACATTTCTGATACTGCCCTCCCTCTTTACAGAAGAGAAATAGTATTTTGTTTATTGAAATTTAACAATATTTTCTCTCCCATTTGCACTTCTATTTCAGATGATGTGATAAGATGCTATTGATAAACTGTGTGGGAGAGTTTGTCAGTAGTTCTAGCTATACACAAGAGACTTTAAAAAGTGTATTTTGGATTTCCTGAAACAATATATTTCTTATTTATCTGAAGGTATATAGACTGCAAATAGTTTAGTATCATTTCAGTCTTGGCAGTTGAACCTTTGTATATGGCTGCTACCAAAACATAATGGTTTATTTTTCATGTTTGGAGCATAACAGTATGAAAAATCTTTTGTAGTTTGTACTACTAACCAAACTGAGCTACTTAACTGAGTCCTTAAGTCATTTAGTACAAATAGGCCAGAGGAATTTCTATGTTATGAGTTATAATTTCTGGTTATTTCTATATATCATTGTTTTCTTCTGATAATAGCATAAAGTTAAGCAAGGTGTTAAATTTTGTATTTTTGAGATGTTCCTATATAAGTAAGCCTTAGATAGATTGTATTAATAGCATTTCCTCAACAATTTGTAGAGTGTAATTGACACCAGTTTTTTTACTGCAATTTTAATTTGGTTTACCAGTTACTTTTGGCATCATTCAGTGTGTCAAACAGGAATAGTTAAACGATAAGACTTTCACGCAAGTCATAGGATTCTCAAAAATTTTTTTAATACTTTTCTATCATCTTATAGTTGAATAAATCTTACAAGGAATATTCTGGACTTCAATTTCTGACTTTTATATGAGCTTTTTCATGATATTTACCATTTTAGTGTTGATGCAGTGATCTTTTGGGAGTTTGTACAATTATAAATGGTAAGAATGCTGAAGGGTGAAGTGATTTGAGTCTAGGGCTAGATAAAAAGGGAAAGGATGAGAGAAATGAAAATGGGAGATGGAGGAATTTAAAGGTTTGGTAATAAAAATGCATTTGCTGGGGTCATAGATGTTTATCAAGAGACGGTTACGCAGCACAGTCTTGGCAGAAAGTTTGGGGAATGCTACTGTAGGGATTCTGTAATTCATGAATCTGGGACAAAGTCTGCACTCATTTGTGAACATGCAGGTCAAAGTGCTAGTAAGGTTTATGGCCCATACTAAGTAGAAACTGGGTTTGGGGGAGGAATGGATGGGAACATGAATAAAACATACTCCTAAAGGTGTGTATGCCTTTGTCTCAGAATTTTATAAAGGGAAAATATCTGTTAAGCTGTCTATCATAAACTACTTAATGATTATAGCCTCTTTCCTTGTACCTTTAAGTTGTGAAGGCCATTTGTGACCCCATTCCTGATGCTAGAAGGATGATTAAGTATAGGCCAGGCACCTAGCATCACAATAGGGACCACCAGGCAAGAAAATAACAGTGGAGTTAGCAGCACTCCTGTATTTGGAGCATATTACTTCAGATTGTAACATTGATAGAAGACATGTTTAATAATTCTCTAGATAGGCCATTTCCAAAGTTATGTCATTCTTTTAAAATATTCCCACATGTGTTTTCATGTGTGTATGCAAAAGCACATGGTACCTTTTATAAACAAATATGCATATTTGGGGGATATGCTAACATTTTTTTGATAGGGATGCATGATCAAAAATGTTTAGAAACTGTTTCTCTAGTTATCACTAAAGTAGATGAGTGTTTGCTCTTCCAAGAATAATTTGATTGTTGTATTCTTTAAGTGATAAGTCTTAAAATGAAAAGCTGTTATAGCAATCCAAAGAGGGTTGCGTTTTCTAATTTTAGCTTATCTGCTTAGTCCTTATTTGTAAAATGAAGATATCTTTTATAGCCAACAGATACCAAAATTAAATGTTACACCAATTCAAAGTCCATGTGCTCCTGTATATTAAACTATGTACTGCTATGTGTTGAAATTCATATTTTATGTTTTTAGAAATTTTCTTTTTAAATGTTACGGCTTTTGTAACATTTTCATGGTTGCAAAATAACTGAGTTAATGTAGTTTTACATCAGTGATTAAATTTGTTTTAGCAATTATGATTTAACCACAAGTCCCCTGTATTTTTTTTTCTCTTGTTCAGAGCAATCCCTAAATTTTTAGGAAAGAAAAATGGCTAACAAATTAAAATTTACTTGAGAAGATTCTATTAATGGGCCTAAACCTAAAGTGATAAGATTCTACAGTTATACTATAAACAAGATTGAATGCATTTTTCAGTCTTAATTTATGGCAGTTTTGTCCCCTTGAGTAAATAAACTAAATGGAGTTGTATTGCCTATAAATTGCATTTGTTAGCCTTTTAAGTTACCAATATATATTCTTACCTGACCTCCCAACAACTGGGTGAGGTTGGCAAGTAAGTAGGTCAGTATTTTTTAATTTTTATTTTATGGATAGAAAACTGAGGCTTACAGCGTTTAATTTGCTCCAATACTAAACAGCTAATAAAGAGCTAATTCATCATTTGAACTCAGTCTATTCTAACCCCAGAATCCAAGCTCTCAACTATTGTTATATAGTGGAGTATCATTTATTTATCTTGTTTTCCATTGTTGGAACATGTATGTTTTAACTTCTCATTGCTCTTGGCCATCTTTGGTCATTTTTATTCTTTAAACCCTTTCACTCTCTGTCCACTAGGCTTACAGCTGTCTTAGGCTTTCTTTAGGAGGCAGTTGGGATGTAGTAT